AATTGTATATGACTTTTTTTTAGTCGAAATTTGCTTCAGCGGTTACAAAGCGCCAAAATAAGTACATGACTATAAGATCATTTTTAATCTGATTGTTGCGAACTAATAGAGAAAAATAATGAAACTATTTTTTGTGCAATTTTTTTATTTTACACCAATAAATTAATAATTTTCTACCTACCATATCTATACATTTTTGTTCTTTTTTTTTTTTTAGATAATTTCTTTTTTTATTATTTTTTCTTTTAAAATAGAAGATTTTGGAAATACTTTTTTTTTAAGTGTTTATCTTTTATTCTTTATCGGAAAGAGAAATTTACGTTTTTCTGCTTTACTTGATTTTTCCATTTTTTCGACTTCATCGCATTTTTGATTGTATTATTAATTATTCATTGTTTTTCTAATTTTAAATATTATAATTTTTTTCATTTTAATTATTTTTTAATTTAGTTTTTTATTTCAACTATTTTAATCTTTTTTTCGTTTTTATTATTTTAATTTTTTTTTATTTTTTAATTTTGATTAGTTTAATTTTTTTTTTATTTTTTTAATTTTAATTATTGTAATTTTTTTTTCATTTTAATAATTATTACTAATTTTTCATTATAATTATTGTTATTTTTTCATTATAATTATTATTATTTTATCATTTATAATTATTATTATTTTATCATTATAATTATTATTATTTTATCATTTATATTTACTATTATAGTTTTTGTTATCTTTGTCAGTAATTTCCTTTAAATTACTTTTAGTTTTCTCATTATAATTATTTTTTCTTTTTAAATTTTCTTTTTTCTTTTGAGTTAATTTCATTTTAATTATTACTTCTTTTTAATTATTATTTTTTTCTTTTTATTATGTTTTCTTCATTATTATTATTTATTCTTTTCCATTATTATTTTTTTATTATTATTTTTTCTTTTTTATTATTATTTTTGTTTTTTATTATAAGTTTTTTCTTTTATTATAACTTTTTTCTTTTTAACTATTAAATTAATATTTTTTTTAAATTTTTCCTTTTTTTGTTATTATTTTTGTTTTTTTCATTATTATTTTTTTCTTTTTTATTATTATTTTTTTTTTCTTTTTTATTAGTATTTTTTTCTTTTTTATTATTATTTTTTTTTCTTTTTTATTAGTATTTTTTTCTTTTTCATTATTATTTTTCCTTTTTTAATATTATTGTTTCGTTTTTATTATTATTTTTGTTTTTTTTATTATTTCTTTTTAATTAATATTTTTTCTTTTCACTATTTTGTTTTTTATTATTATTTTTTATTTTCGTTTCTTTTTAATTATTTTTTTTTACCGTTCTCTACCGTCCGCTGCGTTAAAATCAATGCCATGATGCCTTAGGCCCGTCACATGTTCATATTTTTATGTTAAAAAGAACAACGCTCTCATTCATTCATAATGCGCGTGGACATCTACAGGCATTTACACATACCTATGTATGCATACATTTGAAGTTTCTCACAATGAATAGTTATAGATTGCACATTTATGAAAAAGAAAAATATATAGAATAGAAGCAATATTTTTTTGTCAAAAAAAAAAAAAGAAAATTCCTATAAGAGAAAAAAAAGATTTTCGTCAAAAAAAAAAAATAATTTTTATTAATAAATTTCTAGTGAAAGAAAAAATTTTAAATTCATGAAATATAGAATATTTTATAAAAATTTCTCTACCCAAAACAATTTAAAATTTATAATGATTTTCCTCTACAAAAATAAATTTCATTTCATGAAATATAGAATTTTTCATAAAACATATTTTTAATCAACATAAGCATATGCATATGTATATTTATATATGCTTGTATGTATTTTTTCATTTCCGTCTCTCGCACACAAATATTTATTGCTCTTTTGTTAGGCTGCATTTCAATTTCGATTATTTTAACCGTTATAAATGCGGGGACATTGACTATAATTTATACAAGGATACGAAATAATATGGCATGCCACACATATATATATATATGTGGTATGTATGTACATAAGCAGGCATGTGTAAATGTTTTATTCTTCTCTTCTTTTTCACTGCCTTGGGTGGTATTCTTTTGTTTGCAGCGGATATGAAAATTTATTTTTCAAAAAGCAAAAACTCTTCTGGACGGCTTTTCATTTCATTGAACATATTTTGGTGTTTTTATTTAATGTCCAAAAGGGTGTACATATACATATGTACGTATGTGCTAAAATTTTTTCAGTGGCTACACCCTAACAGCTCAGGATGCTTGGGAGTCGACTTTGCTTGATGATATTTCAATGCCAATGATATTAATTGAAATTATACTCTTTTTATGAACTTCCTAATTTAATTTTTTTTTAGAATTTTTAGATACAAGATTTTTATATTTTTTGTTAAAAAAATTTACGTGAATTTTTGTATGTTTTAATTTATGTGAGTGTTCGGTAAATTATTTGATTAAAATTAAAAAAGAAAATATTTAAGATAGTTCAAAAGAGAATGTTTATATTTGTTTCAAAACGAGTGTTTTCATGTTGAAAGAGATAAAAAAAAAAATTTCGCGACAAACAAAAACATTTTTTAAGAAAGAAACAAAGAAAAATTTTTATATACAATATAAACTACGGCGGACTCACTAAACTCTAACTCTAACTAAACTTACTCGATAAAATATATTTCAATGTATACAAATGTATTTTCTCTAAGGAAACAATAACATCGCCACCACTAATAACAGCGGCACAATGAATAACGGTAAACAAAATCATATACAACTCAGTCGAAGGTAAACAAATAATACACAATAAAAGAAAGACTACAAAAAAGCAATAATAACAATAATAATCATCGAAATAATAATAAAAACAAAAAAAATAATAATAAAAATAATAACAATAATAACAATAATAATCATAATAATGAAGAAGAAAAAAAAAGGAAAATAAGCCAAATTAATAATGTTGGGCTGACCTGACCTCAGACAACTTCCCTCAGACAAATTCACGTTTTTTCTTAATTTTTTATAACATTTCCTTTCTTATGTTCTATATGTTTCAGTGCTTGTATGTGTGTATACTGGCACTCGCAACACAATCTACATAAAACGCTACTGCTGTTATTGCTACTACATATGTATGTATGTAAATATGTACATACATACATTTGTATCTTTTGCTATCAGGAAAGAAAAAGAACTCATAAAAATTTACCGCTAAGTAGCTACGTGTTTGTGCACACACTCGCGCACAAAAAATTATACATATATATATGTATGTACATACATAAATATATTGTATGTATTTGCGATATTGTTTGTTTATGTTTGACAATGTTTTTCGTGTTCTCTTTTTTGACGTAGTCAATCTCTGCTCTTCGTTTTAGCTCATATACATAATGTACGTACACATATACATACATATTTATATATATATATATATGGCTGAGTACATTTAATAATCTTCATCAAATTGTAAGCCCGACAAATAAAATAATCGCACAAGCACGTGATGCGCACACATACACACGTGTATTCATACAATCAAACATATAAAATAATACAAATACATAACACATGAATGCTGGCAGACACAGTTATTAGTTAGACTGCTGCATACAACCACAGTAGATAATAAAAAAAAAGACTGTAGCATACTCTAAGGCGCTTAAGGAAATACAGCAAGAAATTGGATTTGAAAAGTAAATATAACAAAAGGAAAGTATGTTAATGAGATTCACTTTAATATAATATTTATGTATAACTAAAGTAGGTAAATCGATAAAGCCGGAAGCAAAGTAGATTTATCTATATAAAAGAGGTGTATAAAGGCGCTTTTCTTGGAAGAAAATTTTAAGTAAAAAAAACGTTGAAAATTCAATTTTTTAGGCAAATTTTTGTGTATATAAGTATAGTACAGACTTTAAATTTAACTTTTTTTACAAATACCTTTGTACATACACTAGCATATATTTATATACAGTAATCGTTCATCCTTGCCTTTTCTGTGCTTTTTAAACACCTGTCTTTTTTTTTGCTTCTTTGTGAATTTGTGATCAGTTCACTTACGCATATTTTGCAAAGTTTTGTTTTGAGTGTTCTTGCTGTTTTTGTGTTTTAATAGCTGCGTGATGAGTCAACAAATGTTTGACGCCTCGAATTAATCATTTTAAAATATTGTATTGTAGTTAATTCAATTTTTAGTTTTTCTATATATTATTAATAGAAATCGCTTTTCGACTCTTTATATATTATTCCGAAAAGTGTAAGTAACAAAATAACATTGATAACCTTTTAACGTTAAAAATATTATTTTTTTTAGTTATTTTTTAATAATTAATTAGTTTTGATCGAAATCGCCAAATTTTATAACAAAGGAGTTCTTTTCGATTATTTTTTTAATGTAAAAATGTTCAATCCTCAATGAATTTGATACTGTACTAGAAAAAAAAAATTGATCGAAAAAGAAACAACTTCTGATATTGGCAAAGAATAGGGTTCAAGAATATCGTAGACATAAAATTTTGATTCTTTCATCAAAAAAAAAAATATATATATATGTTAAAAATTAAAATAAAACAAATTTGTAGAAATTTCACTAAAAAGATATAAAAAACAAATATCACTGAAAAAATGCAAAATAAAAAACAAATACACAAAAAATTAAATTTCGGAATTAATAGAAAATAAAATAAATTTATAGAAAAGAAATAAAAAAAAAAAACAAATCTCACTGAGAATTTAACAAAAAATAAAAAATAAATACATAAAAAGTTAAATTTTTTAAATAATAGAACAAAAAATAAAATAAATTTGCAGAAATATTACTAAAAAATTACAAAAAAAAAAACAAATATCTCTGATAAATTAACAGAAAAATAAATACACAAAAAATTTAATTTTGGAATCAATAGAAAAATAAAATAAATTTATTGAAATTTCCACAAAAAAAAAATTATAAAAAACAAATATCACTGAAAATTCAAAAGAAATTCAATTTTCTAAATATAATAAAAATTCAACTCACCATCACACGATAGCGTCACATCCGCCAAAACGTCCGATTTGAATAGATTGGAGAATGTTATTGCCAAATTGGACGAGTAACTGTTCCATTTTAAACAAAACTGTTGCTGTGGATCCATTTTGTATTATATATTTATTATTTTGTTTGTTTGTATATTAATTAAAGTAATTATGATTAATTAAAAATTAAATGCTTATTTTGCTGATTTTTTTCTTTTTATAGCATTAACACCGTTATAGTAGCGAAGAATTCAAACGACGTATGTTGTTGTTGATGCAGTTGCACTTGTTGTGATTGTTGTTTTCGTAACCGAAGCAAAACAATTAAACTAAGTTCTTAAAGATGGTTGTTGTAAAACGTAGATATAACTATTATATATATATATATGTATGTATATATAAATATATATTTATATAAAAACAGCCAATTATTTGTAAAGCCCACAAAATTGTAATAGAGCTTTTAGCTAGAAAATTGGCAGCTTTAAGCTTAAGCTTTGTTCCGTGTGAGACTGCCAAACGAATTTCGACACTATTTCCAAAATTTTTAGGTGTATAGCTTTTACGAGCTAAGCCATTCACGTCGAGCGTTGCTTTTTTCTATGATTTTTTTTTTTTTTATTAGCCAAAATATTTTAATTTTCGATATTTTACGTCGCAATGCGCTTTTGTTTTTGCCAAAAATTTTCTTTCCCTTTTTATTTTCATCAATTTTCTACCGCTGCCACTCTCAAACCAGCACTAACGGTTGCGTTGTTGCGTTCGCTAATTCAATCAATGGCATTCGCGTCAATCTCGGCATAGGTTCAATTGTAGACCTATTTCCGAGCCAACTCTTTATGATCACCGTTTCCGTATCCTCTAAAGCTGTCGTACAGTCACGCGTCGCAGAACTTCTCGTCACTGATTCGCACAATCTCGTTGATTCACTGTTGCTGCTGTCGACGCACTTCGTAGATGCGTTTGTAGCGTTTTCGCCTAAGCTCGTTGTTGCTCTGCTTGCTGTCGTTCTAACTGTTGTGCGCTTGCGTCCTTCACTCGCGTGTTGCTTATGTGAGGAGTTATCTCCTTCAACTGCTACTGTCACTTGCACTTGCCCTTGATTTTGCTTCAAGTTTTCTCTTAGCTTTTGCGTTTGCGTTTGCGTTTGCGCTTGCGTTTGCTTTTGCCTTTGCCTGCCTGTTGTTGTTGCTGCGTTTGCGTTTATTATTTGAATAGTTGTTTTTGTTTTTGTAAGTAAATTTTCTGCCACCAAGCAATCCGAATAAATTATGCCAAAACGAAATTTTCGTAAATTTTTTAGCTGCATAAAGTCTATGCGTCGTTGTTTAAGTTCTCTGAAGAATTTCTGATAATGCCAAAGGGAATTTTCCAATTTTGTTGATTTTCTGCTTTCGGGCGTTCTTCGCATTTAACTGGCTTTTTTTGTTTTGTTTGCTTTTGTGTTCTCCTAGAGCTAGCTAGTGGAGTGCGCTACACCAAAATGCGCTCCGACGTCACTGTTATTTATGTGGCTCTTCTGCTGTTGGATTTCACTGTTAACGCAAAGGTACTACGCAATTAGCTTATGTATGTATGTATGTGAAGACGACGACGACACGTGTGTTGCGCCTGCGCAATAGCTTATACCTTTAGATTATTTCTTTATCTTTGGATTCTCCCTTGTTGCTGTAGCAGTTGCTGCTGCTCGCTTACACAATGAATTGTGTCGTCGTTAATTTTATTTAAATGCGCACGCTGAGGTGAAAAGCTGCAATAAAAATGAGAACGTAAAATAAATTAATTTAAATGCAAATTGAAAGCATAAAAAATCATTTCATATAAACAATGACGCAAACGCATAGATTGCTTAGTGTAGTTTCTAAGCTGGGGCAATTCGATTGAAGAAAAGTGCATTTTCAACAGAAATTCAAAATGTAGGCAAATGATAAAGTGTTTGTTTTTTTAAGAAAATTTTCAATTTATTGAGATTTACATATTCAATTTCTTTAAAGGGCAGCAGAAGAAGACATCAAAGTATAGCAGAAGAAAATTAATTTTAAAGGCAAATAAATAGAAGCATAATAATAAAAATGCTGATAATTATGTATTACTATGTTTGTGGCCCAAAGAAATATTTTTTCTCTTATAACCTTTTATTTTTTCATGCGTTTTTTTTTTTTTTTTTTTGAATACATTATATTTTAAATTACTTATTTTATATTATTAATTTTCAACATCGAATGCAACCTATAATATGTTGACCATTTCAATGTAAGAGAGTTTCGATAGCATAAAAAACTTTGGATAATTTTTATTCAATGAGAGTGAAATAGTACTCCATTTTGTTTTTATACCAAAAAAATTTTTGTTTCGATATTTGTCCACAATAACGAAAATTTGCACAGTTCCTTCACGCAAACAATTACATATGTACACATATAGTGATTATTCGATGATTTTCCACTTGCTTGCTGAACCTCTTAAAATAATTATTTTGGCAATAACTACAAATAAATGAAAAAATAATAAGAAGAATAAAAAAAAAAATTAAAAATAAGAACAAAAAAAAATTAAAAAATTTAAATATAAATACATATATGTATGTATAATAAAAACATATTTTTTTTTGTTTGTCTGAATGCAATTTGAGGTCAGAGCCGATAATTCAAAATTCTTAGTAGTGAACACAAACAAACATACATATATATATGTATGTAAACATTACAGACTCTTTAAAATATTTATTTATTTAGCAAATTCTGGAAATGCATATATTTTTGTTTACAACAAACGTTTAGTGTGTATTTATATACGTACATACATACATACGTATGTGCATTTATTTATACTGACCACTGTGACGAAGTGTTAAAATAATAAAAATTAAGAATAACAACAATATCGCCAACAAATTTTAAATAACTTATACGTATGTATATACAAATGCATGGCGTTGATGATAAACACTTAAAGTGAATTTTTATAATTGTAAATTCGACTCGGATCACATTTAATTTGTGCAATGATGCTTTGTAGAATTTTCGGTTTGTCATTTTTTTTTCAATTACTGTTATATTGTATATAAATGTTACTTGTCTGGGTTTTTGCATTTACATTTAATTTAAAAGTTTGTGTTGAATTTATGCGATTAAATTTTTAATTAATAAATAACAATAATCTGTATTTTGAGATTTTTTGATTAATTTTTTTTTATTTGAGTTAAGTCAATTTACAGCTTTCATTACAAAAATTTTAACAAATAAAAATTAAAATAATTTTAGTTAAGTAAAATAATACTATTATTTTATATAAGATTTTGAGAACATTACTTTTTTTATCTACAAATAATAATTATAATTATAATAATAATAATAATTATAATAACAAATATAATAATAATAATAATTATAATAACAAATATAATAATAATAATAATATTAATAGCAATAATTATAATAACAATATTTATAATAATAATACATTAAAATTATTATTTATTTATAATTCTATAGCAAATAAACAGATTTATTAAAAAAAAAATTATAAAAAATAATGTATTTTATAAATAATTTGTAGTTCTAAAGAAGAAGACCGTTGAAGCACCCAGTATTGCAGGCAACATTCCAATCACTTCCACACCACCCCTCCAACACTCAAACCGAAAAGAAAAAACTGCAACTGCCAATTTGATATATCGCATACGACTGACTTCACTTTGCACACAAACACATGCACACACAATCCAGACTATTCGGTATACGAATTCGAGAATTCAGTTTCTAATGATTGAACAAATTCGCGGAAACGCATCCGCATAGTTTCGCCCGCTTCTGCATATCCCTCTCTCAACTGCACAAGTTTTGAGGCAACTTCAATTTCAACATCAATACGACGCATGGCATGTCATGGCAGAGGGACCAACAAACACCGCTTGCTTGCACAGGTATGCAACATAATAATAATAACAACAGCAACAACAACAAATCAACAGCAATAAAAGCAACAGTAAATAAAAACCATTTGAAAGGAGTCACCTGCAATTTCTTGGAATTGCGGCGCGATGAAGCATAGCGCATGCATAGCATAAGAAGCTGCGTGCGCAACACAAAGTGAAGTTGCCACAAAGCAATGAAAAAAAGCGAGTGTACGTACATACATATGTATGTATGTATGTATACACGGATGTTGCGCAAAAAAATTGTCAAGGTTAAAGCGCATCATCGCAAGCAATTTAAATTAAGCCAAGCTAATATTAGCCAATGGCAGCAGCGTAAACGAGTTTTTTTTTCTTGCCTAAAATAAATTTTGGCTTAGTGTTGTTGCGCCAATGCCAATGAAGTCAGCGTCAACAGCATCACTGACGTTGTTGCTGCCGTGAATGCAACTGCTGTTCGGCCACACTTTTTCAACATTCGTCTAATGCTTAACGTTTTTATTTCTTCATACATACATATGTATATACATGTACATACGGATATCTATGTTGCCAAAAGGTTTCAATCGCCTTAAGTTCTGAGCAGTGGCGGCTTTTTTGTTTAGATCCATGTACTTTGCTGCGATTCTTTGCGTTTTAGTTTGCTCTTCTCTTTTTTCCTGTGCGCTCAACTCAAGCCATTTCCAAGAATTAAATCGAATATCTTCAGTTTTATTTGGGTTTTCAGTTTCAGTGTAGCCCAGTGAGGGTCGCTTGCTGTGTTCAAAACGGCTAGTTGCGGCAAATGCGCTCGATTAGTTGGCTAATAAATTTTGCATATACGGAAATGCCTGATACGTGTTTGCCCCCCAGCATGAGGTGGGCTGTGTTGCAAGTGCTTACGTTAGGAACTATGTGTGTGTGTAAAGGTTGAATATATATATGCGGGCATAATTTTATAGCTTGCTGCGCGCAATTTGTTGGCAGCTAATAAATTAAGAACAGATAGAATTACAATTTGCTTGCATTTCAGTTAGAAAAAATTTAAAGGCTTTTCATTGGTCAATAAAATGAATGTGGCGGTTGCACAACAAATTTGATTTTAAAATTAAAATGTACATCAGTATGATTTGCAGTAGAACGTATTAAATAAAAAAAAACTGTCGTTTTACGTTTTTACTTTTTATTGCTTTATTTGATTTTATTCTACATTATTTTATTGATTTTGATTTTATTTTATTTGTCGCACTTAACTTTATATTATTTTACTCTATTTAATTCTATTTTATTTTATTTCGTTTTATTTTATCTTTTTGTTCTATTTTCAAATCTTATTTTTTATATTAAAATTATTTTATTTTATTTTGTTGTACTTTACTTTTTATATGTTTGTTTTATTCTATTGTACTATTTATTATTTTATTTTACTCTAATTTTATTATTATATTTTTTAATTTTTTTAGTTTCATTTTAATTTTTTTACTATATTTTATTTTATTCTAATTTAATTTAAATTTATTTTTTTTTAGTTTAATTCAATTCAATTTCATTTATTTTCATTTTAATTTTCTTTTACTTTAATCCAATTCAATTTAATTTATTTTAATTTAATTTTTATTTAATTTAATTATATTTTATTGAAAGCTTATTTAGGTCAGTGTATTTTATTTCACTTCTTTGACAATTCTTTTTTTTAGCTTTTTTTAATCCTTGTAATCTATAAATTCGTAGAAACTTCGTATTTTCATGTGCTCATACTTGTGTAGGTAAATGTCATTCAATTTCTGATTGGTTAAACTAGCACTATTCTTGTAAATGATTCACCGCTGCAAGCTCATTACATGCCTTCATATACAGACACATACCATTGCTTGGCAAATAAAAATTGCACATAAGACACGAATTGCTTTACACGATCAGTTCAGGAGAAATTGCAACCCAGCGTATTGGTGCATTCAATTCGTTAATTAGCCGAACGTGTCGGAGAGCTCACAAAACTAAGAGCTCGTCAGAGCAGACAATGCAACTTACAGTAAGACAACAAACATTTCGGTGCGTCGAGTGGCCACCAACACCAAGAGACCGTATGGGCATATAAATAAATTTACAGTAAGACACTATAATATTATAGAAAAGAGTACGGCAAAAAACAAATTGGCAAATTACAATTTTTGCATGGACATATTTTATATGTAATTATCTGTTTATTTCATTAATTTTTGTTATTTAAATAATTTGTTTTGTTTCATATTTTATCTAATTTTATAATTTTTTCATTTCACATACATATGTACATACATTAGTAGGTATATAGACATATTTTTATCAGCAATTAAAACCTATTTATAACTAAATCAGTTAAAACTTGGTCATAAAGTGTAAATGCGCTTTAAAAATGTTTTGCATCATGCGTGACGTACGTCGACTATAAAGTGAATGCATAATTCTATTTTAATGAATAAACACAACTAATTACGCACAAGTTTTTCTCATGCATAGGAGTTCTGAATTATTGTTGTTATGTAATTTTCATATTTTTTGTCTTTCTTTCTACTTTTTTTGCTGACAATATAACGTTGTTGTTTTGTAATTACTTCCCGAAAAGGTCAGCTTTGCGATCTTCTCACCCCAATTTAAGCGCATAACCTCAATATTATTTTGTTTTATGTTTTTTTTTTTTTCATATTTATATATACACATTTATACATATTTACATATAAATCATTCTTGTTCTATTTCCTTTTATAAATCGCTTTTACTTGTGCTGTATCGTTTTGTAAAGCAACAGCTACAAAGCGAAATTCTTCCACCTGGTGGTGGAAGGGTGCTTTTAACATATTTTCTCTAAAGAATTT